TTTTTGATCCAGTCTTCCAATCTGTGTCTTTTAATTGTCAAGTTAAAGACATTAAATTTAGGAGATATTACTGAAATGTGTTATTTACTATCATTGCCTTCTTTATCTATTGGTGAATTCTTTGTTTCTCTTTTTGTGACTTTTTTTGTTGTTGTTTATGCATTGACCTTTGAGTTTTCATTTTGTTGTTTCTGTTAATAATATTAAGTATTTACTGAAGTGCTAATTTAGAACCCGTATTTTCTTTCAAGCTTTGTATGTGAGCTAGTCTTTTTTCATGGAAATACTTTACTTTTGCATCTATTTTGAAGGATATTTATGCTGGATAAGTTAATCTGTGTTGAAAATTACTTGCTCTTAGGGCTTGAAATACTTCATTCTAACATCTGCTGGCCTTTAGGGTTTGTGTTGAGAAATCTTCTGTAATTCTAATTGCTTTACAAACTTGTATGTGATTTTTTGTTTTTCTCTGCATTTTTAAAATATTTTAATAGGAAATTAAATGTTAAATAACTAAGGTAAAAGTACATTTCTTGCCTTCCAGATTTCCCATCTCTGGATGACATCTACAGGTTCATTATTGGTTATAAGTTACCTGGAAGGCAGAGACATTACATAAAGTTCTACAACTGTAAACCAAAGTTATTGTGCTAACTCACAAAATTTATTAAAAAAACCCCACTACCTCCCATGTTTCTATATACCTTTTCTAAATGGCATGTGAAACATCCGGACTAGAAAAAGTGCAGTATCTTAGGGAGGGTTAACAAAGTTGAGTTTTGAAGTATTTCTTTTATCAGTTTTTTAAGAATCAAAAATTTCATTATGTGAAACCTATAATTTTAACTAAAACATTAATTTTAGTTATCATAAAATACTATGACCAGGCATTTATGAATAGATACTGAAAATGTGGGGAATGATAAAGCAGAATTCATGCTTACCATATTTATACATACTCTTGGTTGTGTTTCAGTTCCACATGATCTGATTCAAAGTAATAAGAATCAGAGTCATCATCTTCTGTAATGTGTGGTTTGGTACTCCTTTGGCAGGTGGCATATGTCTAATACCGTCCTTTCTCTGAGGGTGGCTTACTTATTCTTTCACTTCCATAATTCTGAGAGTTGCAACATAAAACTTTTTTGTTTTGAGAAATTTCATCAGGAAATGTGGGAGACTCAACTTACAATATCACTAGCAGTTGGGACTAAGATTATTCTCCTCAATATGTCCATTCTCTCTACAAGGAGAAATGTTTTTAGTGGGACTAGCTCTGGCAGGGGTGGCCCTGCATAGTGAAGTTCTCTTGGTATAACAGTGTTTTTGAGGTTCTGATGGAGATGTCATCTGAGCTGAGACACAGTCTAGAACAGACAGTGGTTCTGGTTCTCCAGAGACTGGCATATTCTGAAAATTTATGTCTAAGATGTTACTGCTATTTTCTTTATACTATAGTAGTTCTTTTGAGGAACTACTATCTCCCAGCACATCTGCTTCTTCCTCAGAATCTTTTAAAAATGACTGAATTTCAGAAATGGGGCCTGAAGCTGGTCAGCTGACTTTAACACACTCCACAGACAGGCAGGCAGTTACTATTTTGTGGTCTTCCAACTTGACCTGCACTTCTGAATCTGTACAAGGCACGTTATGGTCTGTATAAATGTCATCCCTCCTGTTACCACAGAACATTGAAGTCTGGGTTTCTGAATCCCCATTTTTAGGTACTGATTTTTTCTGCAGTGCATAGGAATCAGCAGTACTTTGCTTAACATTCCCATCAGGTTAACAGTAGTCACAGTTTATACCAGCAGAATCACTGTCATCAACACTGTTGACAGTTAGCCTGTGATTTCTTCAGCTACTGCAGAATTAAGTGACCCTTCCTCACTGACATTCACATTTTTAACTTCCCTTTTCAACATTCCTTTTCTCACAATCATCCAGTATTGGATGATTTTCTCACAATCATCCAGCATTGACAAGGCCTTGAAAATCTGCATCACTGTCCACTCCTGTCCTCCTCTGTTCTACTGACTCCTTGTCTGACTTGATAGGTGAATCTTCTGAACTTTGTGTTGCTTCAGATCTTCTCAGAAAACGTTTGATTCTTTTTAAAGTTGGTAATATAGGTTCTATTTGTCTTCTCTCAGTATTTTTTTTTTTTTGTCTTTTTTATCGGTTCCGGGGATCGAACTCACGACTGCCTGCTTGCAAGGCAGGTGCTTATGCCGCTGAGCTAAATCTCTCACTATTTTCTACAGCTTGCTTTTCTATGTTATTCTTTTCAGAAAAAGAAACTCCTCTTTTTCTAGGGCTTACTGCTTGCACACTCTGATTTTTGCATACTCTGCTGCTTGAAATCAGTTGTCTTTGTATTATTATTTTCTTTCTGAATTTGCACAGGCTCCGTTCTCTTCTTTGGGAATCTTGATTGCACTTGAGAATGAGAAGAGAGTTCTTCAGGGTGAGCAATGCTGTGATTCCTTAAAGTTCTACCACAAAAAGATTCGTCCAAGCGGTTTAACCCCACTGTTGATCTTGTAACATGAGTAGACTGGGAAGCAGCTTTACTATGACAAGTCCCTACAATATGATCATAATGATCCACTCACTGGGAAACCTGTATAACCAAAGATCTATCATTGTAGAAATATTATCTCATTTCCTTAAATCTTGAAGGACTTAGAGCTATGTCTAGAATAGAGCTTAAGCATCAGGGTTTCAAACTCTTAGCTTCCGCCATGGAGAATACTAGAAACTCTTACATTCCTTTAGCTGAGTTCTGCCAGTATTAAGACAGGTCCCTGCAATTGTGTTCCTTAAGGCCTTGTAGAAAGGGTCTTACCTACTATTTGATTGCATATGGTCATCCTCCCAAGAGATGCTCAGACCTCTGCCCCCAGTTACTAATAGTGGAGGGGGGATGTTTGATTCTCAGCCTGTGGGCCTGTAGACTTACAGAAGATGCTGACTGGTTCTTTTCCTGGCTCACACCAGGGGTACTTACCAGGAAGGCAGGTGAATTGATTTCTTGTTCCGCTGCCTAAGTTCCACCATGGCCGGATCTTCGGAGATGCCAATTGCTTCTCCTCCTGACTCGCACCAGGGGTGCTTACCAGGAAGGCAGGCGAATGCTTTCCTGTTCAACCACCTAAGTTCCATCATAGCCAGATCTTGGGAGATGCTTGAAATAGAATTCTAGCAAAGTAGGTACATCATTACTTTTTTTTCAAAATCCATTTTATTTCAAAGAAAAAAATTTCAAAACATGACAATTGAGGTAGCAATGTTACATACATTAAACATTGTCATTCCCAAATCAGTCACCCAGAGCAGAAGAAATCTACATTCAATTATCCAAGAAATATCAGCACAAAATTATATCTTCAAAGAACTCAAAGAAATCAGTAATATAACTATCATATATACACACACACACACACACTCACACACACACACATATTGTTTCTTTCAGCTTCGTACACTAATGAGACAATACAATGTTTGCACGTGCATATCTGATTTATTTTATTTATCAATATGGTCTAAAGTCGCATCTACTTACCTATAAAAGTCTCTAGTTTGTCCTTCTTTATGGCTGAGTAATACTCCATTATATAAAAATACCACATCTTTTTTCTCCATTCCTCAATTGCTGGGTGTTTACGTTGTTTCCAAGAACTAACTGTTACAAATAGTGCTTCTATAAACACGGTTGCACATATATTGCTGTGGTATGATGTTTTTCATTATTCTGGGAAGATACCCAGAAGGGAAATAGCTGGGTCAAATGTGAACCTTAGTCCTAGCTTTTTGGGGAATTTTCACACTGATTTCCACACTGGTTGCAGCTATCTGTACTCCCACCAATAGTGGAGAAGGGATCCTTTTCCCCCATAGTCCCTGCAGCATTTGTTATTGGTTGTTTTCTTGATAATAGATATTCTTTCCAGAGTGAGGTGAAATTTCAATTTTAATTTGAATCTCTTGAATGACCAGTTATGTTGAACATGTTTTTCATATATTTATTTGCCATTTGTATTTCTCCATCTGAGAAGTGTATATTGGTCTCAAATGCCCATTTTTGGATTGGGTCTTTAAATTTGGGAGGACTGATTTTTCTGAGTTCTTTATATGTTCTTGATAGTCTGAGGGACAGCTGGCAAACATTTTGTCCCACATTGTGGGTTGTCTGTTCACTCTGTTGGTAGTTTCTCTTGATTTGTGAGAGCTTTTCAGTAGACATCATTACTTTTTAAAAACATTAATTAGTTGTACTTGTCATTATTATTTTTTAGCCCTGCTAATGATAAAATCTACAGCCTTGAGTGTGCTAGGCATGTGATTTACCAATAAGCTACATCTCCAACCCTAATTTTATTTTTTGACTGACATATAATATTTATACATATTTATGTTACAATATGATTTAATTTGTATATATCTTGTTATCATGTAGCTTACGTTCTTTTAATCTAGAATAGCTTTTTGTCATATAACTGACTTGTTGAAGTGACATTCATCGGTTGCTCCATAGAATATCCCACAATCTGAATTTCTCTCTTTTCTGTCTTGCAGTGTCATTTAATTTATTCCATAACTCCTGTGTTTTCCTGTATATTGGATGTTAGAGCTGAAGTTTGATTATATTTCATTCATGTATATTTGTCAATTTTATATTCATAGAGTGGTTTAGACAAATTTACACAATAAATATATTTTAGTTAAATAAAAAACCTATAATATTGCTTTTTAAAGTGTTTATTTATTCACTTAATGATTATTCAACAAATATTTGGCGTGCATACTTTGTTTCGAATACTTTGTTGTCTAACAACAGTGAGCAAAACCAACACAGTAGTTCCTAACCTAAATGTTGATCCTAGTTTCCATTGGTAATAATTATGGAGCCACAGACTTAACATGAACTTAAAAGCTTGGAAAGGTTAATATGAAAAGTGTATTGTTGTGATTTTTTTAATGTAACTCATATTCAGTGAAGAACAAGTGGATGTGGAACTTGTACAACGTGGAGATATCATTAAAGTGGTTCCAGGAGGCAAATTTCCAGTGGATGGTCGTGTTATTGAAGGTCATTCTATGGTAGATGAGTCCCTCATTACAGGTATGTTCTTTCAGTGGATCATTATGTAAAAAATGAAATGAATCCAAAGTATTAATGAAAAATAGTAATGAAAGCTAAAGAGCTTTTTCTAGAAATGAATAAATTATGAGAAAAGAAGAATGTTTTCTTTTTTTTTTTTTGTCTTTTTCATTTTTATTGGTAACAGGGATCGAACTCACGACTGCCTGCTTGCAAGGCAGGTGCTTATGCCGCTGAGCTAAATCCCCAGCCCCGAAGAATGTTTTCTTAAAAAATTTCTTTTAAAGACTGGTGGATACATTATCTCAGATTTACTTTATGATTTTAGTTATGCTTTAGAAGACTGTTTTCAGTGATAATTTTTAAGTATTAGAATGTATAATCAAAGGAAATTTTCTCAGTCTCCTGTTAGAATTGAATAGACTGGCAAAATTTCCTGGGCAAATATCTATTCTGTCTTCCTATCCAACAGACAAGTCTAGTCTGAACTAGGCTAGATTTACAGATTTGTTATATCATGGTCTGCTTTAAAAGAGTAAGTCTGGAATATTTTTAGAGATGTTAGATAAGGCTAATTTGGAGCAGAATTGAAATAGTACCTTTCTTACCTCAACTCTCCAGATAGTCCAAGAAGAGGCACAGTTTATGAACCATATAGAAATATCATAGGACTGTATCTTTGTCAATTGGGGTGCCATAGCCAGTCTGGATGGCAGAATTCTTTGTCTTATACAGTATTGTATAATGTATTTGTTCTTGACCTTGGATCACAAAGTTGTAGTAGCAACACCTTGTGCCTTCTCATCCATCATTATTACAAAGAAAAACTACGTATTAGATTTTTAAATGCTCCTTGAGAATAAGTTGAAAACCAGTAATCCAGGACAGGGTATACTCTAGAAGTATCTTTCAAAAAGAATCAATGTGTTAGGTTTTTCCAGTATAAAGTATGCATTCCTGGGCTTTGCTTAGAAGTGACATAAGGAAAAGGAAACATAACTAATTCATCTAAATTTAGTTCATGAAATAAGAATCTCCTGTCTAAATATTGCTTAACAATTAACCAATAACAATATGTTTAAATATAGTGATCATATATTCTCCTTCAATCTGACTTTACTCTTCTTAAAGGAGAAGCAATGCCTGTGGCTAAAAAACCTGGCAGCACAGTAATCGCTGGTTCTATTAACCAGAATGGATCCATACTTATCTGTGCAACCCATGTTGGAGCAGATACAACTCTTTCTCAAATTGTCAAACTTGTGGAGGAGGCACAGACATCAAAGGTAATGTAACTCACTAGGAGAGACAGAAAGTATTTTTTAAAAAGATTTCTCAGTATAAACCTTGATAAAGTATTTTTTTGGTACCAGGGATTAAACTCATGGCTTAGCATTTGCCAGGCAGGTGCTTATGCCACAGAGCTAAAGCCCCAGCCCCATTAATATAATTTTTGTATTTTCATTTGATGATTTTTCTTGTGTTAATATGAAGTTTATTAAAATATTTGTCACCTACCTACCAAATATATTCTGTATTTAACATCAGAAATGGAGACTTTGAGGTAATAATAACCATTATTATTATTATTTGAAATTCTAGGCTCCTATCCAGCAGTTTGCAGACAAACTCAGTGGCTACTTTGTTCCTTTTATCGTCCTTGTTTCTATTGCTACCCTCTTGGTATGGATTATAATTGGATTTCTGAATTTTGAAATTGTGGAAGCCTACTTTCCTGTAAGTGACTTGATGCAATCCTTCACTATATGCAAAACAGGCCATGAATCTTTTGCAGAAATGATTGAGTGGAAAGAACTCTTAAAGTCACCCCAACGTAGTCTGAGGTGTAGTTTAGTGATACAGTACTTACCTACTATGCTTAGTCCCTTGAGTTCAATCTTCAGCACCCCAAAACAAACCAAAAACAGCAATATCAAATACACTATTGTTACGGTAATATCCCTTTGCTTCAGGAGTGTGGGGTGTATGTTTCAGGAACTTAGTGGATACCTGAAACCATGATTAGCACTCAACACTGTATATGGTATGATTTTTTGTGTACATATACAAATTTAATGCTTTTTCTGTCTTAACTAAGCACATGTTATGTACTGTTGCTCTAGTTTTTGTTTTGTTTTGTTTCTTTCTCTTTGAGGTAGAGTCTTGCCTTGTAGGTCAGGCTGGGCTACACTCAGTATGTAGCCCAGCTGGTCTTGAATTTGAAGCAATCTTTCTGTCTCAGGCTCCCAACTGCTGAGATTACAGATGTGTACCATCACATCCAGCTGTGGTAGTAGCTTTTACAGTTTGATATATGACAGCAAACTAGCTTGAATGTTTTTTCTTCCTTCACAGTTTCACAGAGAGAAGATTTGTTCATATTTTAGATCTTTTCAGGTTCAGCATTTTTTTTTGTTTCTGATGATTTATTTATTTATTTATTTTAATTTTATTTTAACGAGTGTAAAACTAAATACAACAAAACAGAACAAAACCAATCAGAAGAAAACAATGTAAATAACACAGATTTCAAAGCAAACAACAGGAGATCATCCATCACTGGCTACCATAATTTCTCTTGTTTTCTTCTAAATAGTTGTCCATATCTTCACACACAATGAATTCATACAAAACAAAATAGTATTAAGGTGGTCGAAACAGAGTTATGAAGGCATTATAGGCCTTCAAAACCAGATGGTAGGGAAATCAACAATGGCTGCCATAATGTCTCTCGTTCTCTTCAAAATAGCTATCTATACCTTCATGTTTGTTGAAATTAAATAATACAAAACAGACTAAAATCACTCTGAACAAAGAATAATGGTATTACTGCATTTCACAGCATGACAATATGGAATCAGCAGTGGATACCGTAATGTCTCTTTTTCTTCAAAGTAGCTGTTCATTTCATTGTGCATTATATAATCAATTCTCATAAACTATTTAAGAGAAGTTCTATGCATGTATAAGTCTGTACATGTATACCTATCCTTTCTGTATTAGAGGGAAAAGCAAAGCAAAACAAAACAAATTACTAGAAAAACACGAGACAAAAAAGTGAAATAAATAACAGTAGCAAAGAGCTCAAAACACTGACAATACAGACATTCAAAAACAAGGTGGTAGGAGCATAGCTAGGGTTATTTTTATTTTACATAATGATCCTCAAGAGTTCATCAGATCACCATACACTAGCATGCACAATTTTCCAATATTATGAATATTAACTGTTTTGTTCCAAGTCAAGTTCAGCATTTAATATAACATACAACTATCGCATAAAAACCCTGGCAGCATGATATGGTTCCATTAACTAGAATGGATCCATATTTTGTTGTTGAGAACTTTTACCTTTTTACTTAAAGGCCTTACCTTTTACTTATGGCCTTTCTTTGTTATACACAAATTGCTACTCATGTACTTTGATAGCATTAAATAAAATATAAGCTACTTGAACACAGCAATGGAACATCTCAACAGTTATTCTAATAACTGAGAGACTGTATTGATTATTATTCTGTCATTTCCGGGACAAAATACTTGACGCCCAAAATGAAGGAAAGAAAGATTTATTTAGCTTATAGGTAGTGGAGGTCTCAGTCCATAACTCAGATGGCTCCAAGGCAAGGTGACATGGCTAAGGGGCAAACGTTCATCACAGCCACAAGTGACAAGAGCGAAAAGGACAAAAAGAAGGGCAAGTAATCCACTTTCCCTCCTTATATTGTATGATGGCTGTCTGCCCTGGGTGGATGTAACACTCACATTGGCAATCCCAGCGCTAGACAATGAACCAATCACAAATGCTAGATTCAGTTGCCCCCATGACTGCTTGAGGCTTTGGGAGGACATCCAAACACAAACCATAAAAGAGACTAAGTTATTAATAGCATAATATATACAGCATGTATATAATTCATGTCTCAGGTGGAAAATAGCAAGATTTCATCATGCTACTCAGAATACACACAACTTAAAAGTTAGGAATTGTTTATTTTTAGGATTTTCTGTTGTATATTTTTTGGACATAGTTGACTGGATAACTGAAACAATGGATAAGGGTGAACTATTGTATCATTAAGGAGTGGAAGAGTGGTAAGACAAGCACTTGGATTTCTGTAAATATAAAAGGTTTTCTTTTAGAAAACAAATTCACTGTGATTTCTGATTTTTCAAAAGGAAGCAGTAAATGTTAACATTTTATGCTTAGTGTCATTTCTAGCATGATTTTGGCTTCACAAAAAATTTTAGTTATATTGAGGAAAAATATCAGGATTAAGCACTGGTATTTTGCCATCAGTGTGACCTTAGACCACATAATTAATCCTTTAGTTTTAGTTTCCTCATCTGTAAAGTGAAGTTTTAATAATACCCATTCTGCCTTGCAAAGATTAAATAAGATAGTAGAAATACTTTGCAATTTATTAAATGGTTTACAGATGTACAATAATATTAGCGCCTACTCACCTAGTTCTCTGATGTTCTCTAAAGTATGAGATAAAATGGTAAAGAGGCCTGGATTGTACCTCATACTAGCTATATAAATTCTAAGTCACCTAACTTCAGTTTTTTTGCTTGTAAAATAGGGATAATTATACTTCAGTTATAGGATTGGAATTAGCACAGGTGAAAGCTTACAATGCATGTGAAAATATACATATGTGGTATGTATGAAAAAAAGCCTAGGTATTTATGAAAATTACTTCCAACTTTGTTCTATGTAGCTCTGTTACTCTTGAATAAGTATGTAAATATTGGAAAACTTAGTAAAATCTAGCAGTGTAAATCCATTATTACTAATAAAGTAAGTGTTTTTTCTTTTTGTAGCACTGGGGATTAAACTCAGAACTTTCACACTGACGTACATCCCAACCCTTTATTTATTTGTTTGTTCATTCATTTATATATTGAGATAAGGTCTTTCTAAGTTGCTCAGTTGCCCAGTATGGGATCAAACTTGGATTCCTCTTCACAGGGTGCTGGGATTATAGGCATGTACCACTATGCCCTTTTTTCCCAACAGGGTCTCACTATCATCTGGGCTGGTTTAAACTCATTGTGTAGCCCAGGGAAATCTCAAATTTGTAATCCTTCTGCTTTAGTCTCCTGAGTGCTGGAATTACATGCATGTCTTATCACACCTGTTTTGTTATTTTTTTAATAATGCCACGCTATACTTTTCCAATCTTTATTCTTTCAGTTAAAATGTAAGTAAAATTATAGCTATGCATTATGTCCATGTTATGGTCACTAGTATAATACCAAAAATTTTCCTTAAATGATTCATCTTTGTTAAGTACACATTGAACAATAAGATAATGGAGTATGTATTGTTTAGGAATTTTTTTTGAAGTTAGGAGAATCTTTATTGGAAATAATAAGAAGAATAGCTCCTGGATTGCCAGAAGGGGTCCTGAGTGGATAACCATGGAGCCCCTCAATGCAGAGCTAATTGTGCATATAAGCAGAGTACAGGAATTGCATTACTATATGGTAGATGTAAAAAGGAAGCTCCAAGCACTGTACTGATCCCTGCTGGCAATCTCCAGCTACACCCATAGCTTATCACTCTTATGGTTCAGTGGGGCTAAAAGGCCACAGTAGCAGCTATTAAAAAACAAACAAAAAAAAACCCAAAAAACACCTCAGCAAGAGTCTTTACATTCCTTAGTGGAGACAGTCTTCTAATAGTCTTTGCTTTTCAAGCCTCTATCACAGTTTATGTATTGCATGTCCGTGTTCTCTGGGGCTCGTCACTCCAACTGCTGTGATGGTGGGTACAGAGACCTCAATCTTCTTATAACCAAACTAGAGGCCCTTACACACAAATAAATAAAACTCCTCTTTAGATAAATAACTAACATCAGGTAAAAGTAGACTTTAAAACAGTAAAAAGAAAATACTAAATTTATAGATAGCTTCCATGTGCATGCAGGTCTAGGAGCCAGCTGTTACAGTCCTGACTCCAGTCTCTTAAAAACAGTGTCTGGACTTAGCTCCTTTTCATTCTAGTTCTTATGTTTGGGCTATGCATTTGTACTGTCCTGGTAAAATTTGTTTCTTTTCACCTAAAGGCTGTCAAACTCCAGATAGTCATGCAGATAGAACCAATGATAAATGTTCTAGATTCTTTTTACTGAGGTCCACTTGATCAGGAACTTTTCTCATAAGTTCAATGGATTTTAGGAGGTTTTGCCTAAAATTGCCAATCATACTTCCCCATGTAAGGAAATACTCAATGTCACTAGGGACTCAGCTAGCAGATTTGTTTAGGTCACATTGTTACATATGAAAGCATTTTGTTAAAATATAATTTAACTCCTTTCACTTTAGATGACTTTTTCATTGTCTTTACAGAACACTGTGAAAGCATATTTATGCTCTGAGTGTACAGAGAATTAGAGTTTTGTTTGCTCAGTGATGGTGTTTATTGAGAATCATGCCCCATGCCCCATGAAGATATCTCTAAAAGTTTCTAATAAGAATAATCTCAGTATAGGGAAAAGAAAAAAATAGTGGAGTTTTTTTTGTTCCTTATACTTCATAGTTTATCAAAAATGAAATCTTGACTTTAGGGCTATCACTTGTTTACCAGTTATATCACAATTTCTTACATTCATAAAAGAAAAAAAATTTCTTACTATTAACTAAAACATGTATGTTGGTAACTACTGTATTTTCCAGAAAATAAGATCTAACTAGAAAATGAACCAGTTATAATTTATAGTCAGTCATTAGCATGGTAATGGCCAGCAACACACCAATTATACGTCACTATTCCCTTGTTCATTGGCTATACTGTAATGATGAGGAAGTCAAAGATAGGCTGATTGGGGCTGGCATTTTTTTTTATTTCTAGTTAGGTCTTAATTTTTAGGAAACATAGTAGGTAGAATTTGTGACTTCAACATTATGTTTTTACTTAGAGTTAAGGTTTGTTTCTTTTGTTTGTATAACTGCAATCAGTAACCTTTTGCCTTTCTTTAATCTGTTTTTCTAAAGGGTTACAATAGAAGTATTTCCCGAACAGAGACGATAATACGCTTTGCTTTTCAAGCCTCTATCACAGTTCTATGTATTGCATGTCCCTGTTCTCTGGGACTCGCCACTCCAACTGCTGTGATGGTGGGTACGGGAGTAGGTGCTCAAAATGGCATACTTATCAAAGGTGGAGAACCATTGGAGATGGCTCATAAGGTAAGACAGTCTCCAGAACTAAAAACTGCCTCATCTACACTTGCAGTAGCACCCCTATTGAGGAACACAGAGCCCAAGTTATTTCCACATGGTTCATAAGTGGAGCCTCTTCTAGGACTGTCCTGAGGGTTGAGGTAGGAAAGATGTTATTTTGGTTCTGCTCTAAATTGCCCTTTGATCTCTAAAAACACTCCACTATTACTTTCTTACTCCTGATAAAGAAAATCTAGAGCCTTATCCTATCTCAGACTAGATCAGTATTTAGGAAAGGAAGACAGAATAAGTTTTTGCCGTGGAATATTTGCTGAAATATAGCAGCCTTTTAAGGCAGTTATGTGTGACTCTGTGTGTAGATTCTTCATTGGGAATTAGTGTCTGCAATGGCAGGCCAGTTTCTTTGCCTTGTTGCCATCAATTGGCAATTCGCACCTGTGATTTCAGGAAAATAATCATCTCTGATCTCTGACATTGTAGGATTTCTGTAACAATCTCAGTTAAACTACTTGACTTTCACTAAAACTATATTTTTATTGGTATGTTCCTATTATGAAGATAAAAAGTGTATTCAGATGCATATGGTAAACATATAATGTAGCTTAGAACAAATTTAAAACTCAACTCAGTCAGTGAATACAGGTTAGTGATTTTTATACAAATTTTAAAGTTTTGATGTGATTTCAAACATAAAAGTTGCAAGACTAGTATGGAAAACTATTATTTTTTTATTTAAAGAAAGACAAAACAAGATAGAAAACAGGCAGAAATAGTACATACTTTCAAAGAAAACAAATAGTAATAAATCACTAGCTGATGTATACATATTGTCCCCCTATAAACCGTTTTTCAAGGTACACAAGTGGAACATATAAACGGGATTTCAACTAGGGAGACTGCAAACAGTTCTATTCAACTGTCCAACAAAAACTAAGTATTATGGCTATCAATCCTATACACTTAGACATGTACGCATTTATCCATATCTTCATTTATGTTGAGACCTAACAGAGCATATTAGATTAAAATTCTTCTGAAAAATGATTAATAATATTGCTGGATTTCACATCATAACACTCCAGAATCAGGATTGGGTACTGCAGTGCCACTTTCTTTCTTTCAAAGTTTTTGTTCATTTCATCATGTGTCATCAAATCAGTGCTCATAAACTGTTTATAGGTTTTAGGTAAGCTTGAGTCTTAACATGTATTTCTATCCTTTCTAGGTTAGAGGGGAAAACAGAACAAAGCAGGACAGAACTAAACTTTTTCATATAGACATATAAAACTAAAAAGACATATAAATCTGCTGTATAAGGAGTTCTATCCTGGTCACTATGCTGTTACTTGTTATCATTAAGATAAAGTATCATCTTGTTTATCATCAGATAAAGTGTAATTGAACATATCAGTACATAACAGAATTAACAGAAATACAACTTTATAGATAGTGTAGAGCTACAAAAACAGGTAGTAATCAAATCAGAATGGATATCGTAGTGAATCATTGTCATTCTCAGTATAGTTGTCTGTACTCCTCAACTTGTTGCCATCAACCTTACAGGTTTTGAATAAAATCTGTCAGGAATAAGCAGCAATCAAACAAGTCAGATTTAACTAAGATCAGTCATGATATAACAATATAAGTCATACATGGATCCTGATTAAGTTAATAGGGAATTAAAGATGTCCCCTATGCTATGGACAGCCATCCGTGCCCCTCAGTTCCAATGCTTGTATACAAACTAGGACAGAACGAGTTCCAACCAAGCAGAGTGGTATGAGTAATAGGGATTTTAATTCCTGATACACTATTAGCTATATCTGCTGCTGTTTTTGTTTTTTTTTTTTTTTGAGGACTATTCCTCCCTTTTACTCCCTAGAATGAACCGTGTATTTTTGAGTCTCCCCAACACTTATGGTTTTGTATTGAGGGGGGGCAACCTGCTATTTACTTAAGTGTTTCTGAACTTTCTCACTCCTGCACTGGATTTCTAGTTATATTTCTTCATTTCGTAAAGCCTGTATGTTCAACCTATCCATTTATACTGATCTAGTTACCCCTATTACTCTCTGGTTCCCTATCATATCGAGTTCTATTTTCTCATGTTTGATTTTGCTCCATATAACCTTCTTCAGGCTAATTATATTTCCTATAAAGAGCCTCTCGGTGGACCCTATCTCTTGATCCACTCTGCCTGCTATTCTCTATTTTTTCCCTGAAATTATGGTATCTAGGCCATCTATATTAGAAATTACATCCAACCTTGTCTGCCTCATTTCTGTTGAGCTCTTTTTCTGTCATTAGTTGTTAATTTGTCTTCTTCATTTTGCTTTCTGCTCCGTTCATTGTGGCCTCTCTGTTACTGTTTTTAGAATTTTGTTATTTTTCTCTTTTAGAATGTCCTGCAACATTCTCTGTAGAGTTGAATTGGTCGTTGCAAATTCCCCTAGTTCCTCTTTATCCTGGAAGTACCTTGTTTCTCCATTAATTTCTAGGAACAGTTGTGCAGGATATATCAATCTTAGCTGGAGGTTATTATCTTTCAAAGCTTGGATTATTTTGCCCCACACTCTTCGTGATTTGATGGTTTGTGCTGAGAAGTCTGCTGTAATTCTGATGGGTGTTCCCTTGTAAGTGATCTGTTTCTTGTCTCTGACAGCTTTTAATATTCTGTTCTTATATTGGATTTCTGGAATTTTGATTATTATATGCCTGGGTGTAGTTCTGTTTGGGTTGTAGGTGGCTGGGGTCCTGTATGACTCAGACATCTGAGTATCTTTACCTTTTACTAAATTAGGAAAAATTCTCCTGGATTATTTCTGTGAATAGCCTTTGTAGTTCATTTGTTTCTGTCCCTACTTCTTCCTTTACATTGTTAATTGTTGTTATAGATCCTCTTATCATCTTCTAGCCTTTGTATTATTGCTCTTTGTTTCCTTGTTATTTTTAAGAAGTTTTTCATTTCATGCTCCCACATTACAAATCTGTCCTCCAGTTCAGATAATCTATCCTTAGTTTCCTTCAAGCTGTTATGCCAGCTTTCAATAGAGTTTTTAGTTTCCTGGTAATCTCTTTGAACCTGCTTCATGTATTTTATGTTTTCTTTATTTTCTCCATCAAACAATTCTCCCCTGTTTTTCTGTTCTTCCATTCCACCATCTGTTTTTTCTTGGGCGGTGCTTAGCATTTCTCTAACTGTTCTACTTATATCTTGCTTCACTTTGTTAAATACTTCACTTTTGAACTCGTCTATGAGGCTCCAGAGATAACGCTTTATGTCTGTTGGTGCTGTGTCTGATATTGCATGTTTTCTGTCCTCATTCTCCTTTGCATTTACCTTTCCTAGATCAATGTTCTCAGGATTGGGGACCAAGGACCCTTTCTTGTTGCCTCCTCTTCTCGTATTTTTTGTTCCTTCCATACAATAGCTTATTTGGAGGCCCAGTTTCTTTCTTTGTGGGTTAGCTGGCTAGGTGTTCCCGCCCACTCCAGTGTACTAGGGAGACACAGACAGGGGCAGTGTTTGTTAGGCCTGCCCTTCCAGGTCAACCTACAGCAGGCTTCACTGCTATTGTGCACTGCCAGGCACAGGGACCTGGTTTGGGCTAGCCTACTGGGTCTTAGTCCGGGCCGTCATCCAGGTCAGGTTCTCCCAACCAATCCCTCTTGAGAGGGCAATATGCAACTGAAGTCACTGCAGTGTCCTATTCCGTCTAGTCTGCCTGGTCTCAGAATGTCCTCTCTTGGAGCCTTCTTATCTATGGAGGGGTCACCGTTCCTCTCACTCACTACAGGTCGATGCAGGGCTCCCTGCCAGTTCTGCTCTCAGTTTGGTTCGCTGATTCCTGCTCTCAGTTCTTTCGCGTCTCTATCCCTATTGTGCTGATTCAGATGCAGCAGCGGGGGGAGGAAATTCCAGCTGCGGTTTCCAGAGGCGCGGGTTCCAGCTTAGGCACTGAGACTTCAGCTGTTCCAATCATAGCACCGGGATTGCTTTTCTGATTGTTTTCTCTCAGCTTAGTTCGTTTCTGGGTTGGCAGGGTATATCTCCCCCTGCTTAGGACTCCCCACACTGGCACCATTCCTGGATTCTAAGCTGGCTATCTCAGAGAGCCACTGTAGCTGCTGTTATCTATCTGCCATGTTCTTCTAAAATCCAAAAACTATTCTTTACCAAAGTGGTTGGTACCTTTCCCATGAACAAGGACACTCCTTCATGTCACCACAGTACAGTGATCAATGTTAAGAAATTAATATTGATATAATACTATTATCTGTAGCCTATGTTCTAGTTTTCTTAGTTGTCTCAATAATTACCTTTATGACCATTTTTTTCTCTTCCAGAATCATGCTTTGTATTTAATATTCATACCTCTTTCATCTGTGTTTCAATTTTATGGTGAGGCAAATAAACACTCTAATTCCACATTCTCCCCTTTCCTATATTGATTTTCACACATTGGTTCTCTGAACTGTCTCTTCTCACCCCAAGTTTCTAATCAAGACCCAATCAAGCCAGGAGAGTATATCTGATACTCATTTCAACTTCAATATTTTTTCATTTTTAAAAATTTAAAAAATTTAAAGAGAATAAAAAGCAAAATAGAAAAAAGGGTAGAAATAATGCAGAATGTCAAAAACATAAACAGTAAGAAATCACTAGTTGATAAATTATATACTATCATCTTAGAAACAGTTCTTCAAGTTATAAAATTAAAGCATACAAAGTGGACATTCAAATAGTGACAGTACAAAAAGTTCTGTTCAATGATCCAACAAAAAGTAATATGGTTTGTCGATGTCCGCTCCCGGCCGGCAGGAAGGACACACGACAAAGTCTGGTAGTGGACAACCTTTTCTTTTTATTTTCCTTCTCCGTACAGCCTGCCCTGGGTTCTCCCAGCTGAAGCCTCCTCTGGTCCGCTCCCCGCGGCTCCTTTTGTGCTTCAGTCTGCCCCAAAGCCTCTACTGGTCCGCTCTCCGCGGCTCCTTTTGGGCTTTTACTTCCGGGCTTCTATCTGGCTTCTACTTCCGCCCAGGGGTGGCACCGGTATATGTACGGGTACAGTGTCCAATCATGTTAAAGTAAGCAAGGCAAGCTGATTGGCTAACATCATCAGTTGCCAGGCAGACTATATTGTTGAGCGGGTTGTTTACGCGGTAAGCAGGAAACTAACATATTCGATGGGAGGGGTAATCTACCTCAGGCCTCACTCTTTACTACAGGCCTCACGTCCGCCAAGTGAGGCGACCGGGCTCGGGGCTGTGGCTCCCAACAATGGTTATCTTATATGCTTAAAGAATACATGCAACTTAATTATTTTTTTAAAGAGACAATAAAATGCTTTTTTATTCAATGGTATAACTGGATAAATAGGTTTGTTTACAGTCATTCTTGTGAAATACTCAACTTAGTTATTTACCTTTTCTCTTTAATTATCTGCCTGCTGCTCAAATTTCCCCAGTGAATCTATAACTCATCAGTACTGAAAGCCTTTGCATTTTCCTGGATGCACTAGAGACATGTGTTAATTACCTATTAGCAGCCAATCTTTAGCCATTATCTCTGTTTATTTAACATGCATTCACAGACATTTAGCAGAATTGAACACTTGAGCATTTGCAAGGGAGAGTATTAGTTGCAACTAGAGTATTTCTTTTTTTATTCTTCCTTTTTGCTCCCAAAGATAAATCAGTTTATGAAATTAAATTGAATCAAAGGCCAGTTCATCAATAAACAAAATATACCATAATATGTCAAAGTAAACGTTTTTCTCATTCCTGGAAAGAAGATGTTAAGAATTTTCAACTTACATAGGTATTGTATTTTTAAATTTTCTTACAGGTAAAAGTGGTGGTATTTGATAAGACTGGAACCATTACCCATGGAACCCCAGTAGTGAGTCAAGTAAAGGTTCTAGTGGAAAGTAACAGGATATCACGCAATAAATTCCTGGCAATTGTGGGAACTGCTGAAAGTAACAGTGAACATCCTCTAGGAGCAGCTGTAACCAAATACTGCAAGCAGGTACAATTTTGCCTTTTATATTAAAAGTAGCCATCTCGTGTAAGAATTATGCAGAACAAATCCAGACTGGCATTTTACTATAATTTGTGTATCTTGTTGATATGAAGGCAAATAGACTTGTATGTTCTCATTTAATTATATGTATCTTAGTTTCTTCACACAGACGAATAGAAGAGTGAACACAGAAATTAACTACAATCCAGCTGTATGAATAACCTCTGATGACATGGAAAATTAGGGCTGGGGACGTAACTCAGTGGTAGAGCACTTGCCTAGAACACAAGGCCCTAGGTTTCCCAGCTCTGGAAAGAAAAACAATACATTTATGATAGGAAAATTTATGATAGGAAGGAAAATTAAGATAGTTTGAAGAATTACATAACAAGAAATGAAAACCACATTCCCTGTCCTCTTCCATAGTTCCTCTCTTCAAAAATTAGCAATTTTGTACCTATCAGTCTGTTTTAATGACAACTTTTTTGGTACATTACTCATATAACTATGAAGTTCAACTTTTAAAAGTTATGACAGTAATTTCTGGTATATTCACAAAGGTGTACATCTTTTTTTCACTGTTTGATTTTTAAGATATAGGATTTTCCTATATGGCCTAGGCTAGCCCTGTACTCCTGGGCTCAAACAATGGTTCTTCCTCAACCTCCTGAATAGCTGGGACTACTGGTGCCATGCCACCACATTCGGCTTATTATCCATTTTATTCATTCATTCATTCATTCATTCATTCATTCAGTGGTACTAGGAATTGAACCCAGGGATTTCACACTGAGCTATGTCCTCAGGCCTTTTTAAATTTTGAGATAGACTTTTGCTAAAACTCTTGGACTATTGCCTAGGCTGGGGTTGAACTTGTGATTCTCCTGCCTCACCCTCCCAGAAGAGTTCTGGGATTATATGAGTTCACCACCATTCCTGACTCATTAATAATTTTAAATACACCATGATGTATGTATATCATTTAAAACTTTTACATTAGAGAGGTCTTGTTTTGGTCATTTCTTTTTTGGTGTTGAGAGAAGTCAACCAGGTCCTTTGCACTGGACTATATCCCTAGCAATTTTAATTTTTTAAAAAAAATTCAAGACAGGCTCTCCCTAAGTTGCTAAGTTACCCTGACTGGCATGAAACTTGTGATTCTTCTGCCTTAATCTCCCAGAGTGTTGGGATTATAGACACATACCACCATGCCCAACTTCTAGATTTTTATTGTAGTGAAAATGCCCATGGTTGATGTTAAGAAATGCTCCACATTAACAGCCCAAGGGAAGTGCTGAACTAATGTTTTAAAAAATTCAATTTCAGTATAACATAAAGTTACAACTGTATACAAGTGTTTCTTATTGTCTCAGGCTCAGAAAATATAACTCTGTTTGTCCTTTAAACTCTTGAGGTTATAGAGGGTTGGACCCATTTAGATGTGTTTCTCTATTGTCATCAAACCTATTTTATTTTGGAAATGTGGATTTATAAGTATAAGGCAAAAGCATGGACTAGAATGAATACCTGAGTAAGGAAAGAATACCTTGTGCCTGTGAGAATGCTATCTACATATGATGCTCCAGGCTGGGTTTCCACTGATAATCTCCTAGCCTAGCCTTAGGATGTGGACCTCAATGCACATTTAGAAGCTGCTGTTTTCAGTGGATCAGTTCCCTGATTTTACTCTACCCTTTTCTGTTTTTTGTGGACCTCAATGCACATTTAGAAGCTGCTGTTTTCAGTGGATCAGTTCCCTGATTTTACTCTACCCTTTTCTGTTTTTTGTCTTATTAAATGAATTTCCCAAAGTATAGATTTGCCCCTTTGTTTGTTTGTTTGTTTTCTTTTGTGGTACCAGGGATCAAACTCATGACCTTGCACTTGCGAGGCGGGCGGTTATGCCACTGAACTAAATCTCATGCTCTGCCTAATTGTTTCTAATGGCTATATTATATTGTTCTGTGATTGGTTTTCTTGGAACTTACAATGCACACTGAACATCTTTGTTTCTATATTAAGTACGTATCTGTGACTGCTATAAAGTAAGCTCATGATTAAATTTTGGTAAATAGTACTAACATATGATGAATATTATGAGCACTCATAATGGAAATTATACTGCTTATATATGACCCAAAATTTGTGAGTGCTTATTTCTCCACATTTCTACCAATTTTAATGTGAAAAATATTTTCTTGTTGATGGTTTGCTTTGTATTTCTTTCATAACAAGCAACGTTTAGGAATTTTTTTTTATCGATACTGGAAATCCAGCTCACAACCGCATGCTTGCAAGGCAGGCGCTTATGCTGCTGAGCTAAATCCCCAACCCAATTTAGAAATTTTTTAAAAATTTAGGAATTTTTATGTGTTTTTTGGCCATTTGAATTTGTTTTTCCCTAACCTGTTGTCTATAGCCTTTTCCAATTATTTTACTTTTTTATTGTTGAGACAAAATACCTGACACCCATAGTTAAAAGAGGAAATATTTATTGTAGCTCACAGTTTGTAGGTTTGTAGAAGTTTTAGTTCATAGTTGGCTGACTCTAAGGCAGAGGAGAAACAGTTCATGGCAGACAGGAAGCAGAAAGCATTAAACAACACACTTAATTCCAGCCTCACACATTCTAGATGCAGCTACCTCTGACAAGCCCCACCCTATGACCACATGAGGTTTTGAGGGACATCTAGACACAATCCTTTGGCTGAGTGTGTTGGTGCATGCCTGCAATGTCAGCATTCTGGAGGCTGAGGCAGGAGGATCATCATGAGTTCAAGGCCAGCCTGCACTATATAGCAAGATTCTTATCTAAGCAAAGCAAAACAAAACAAAGCAAAACAATCCTTAACACACATTTTTCCATAAGATTGACTTTTTCACATTGATTAATGTAAATTATTGGTTAATTATCTCAGACTAGTTTTACAATTAAAATGTGGCAGTTGGTACCTTGGTGTTGTCATTTATTTATTCCTTCCTTTTTACCTATTAAGTATAACTGACTTGGCTTATCTATGCCCAAATCAAACAGAGAAGATGAAAATATAAAATGAGCCTGGAAAGTGTTTGGTCCCTAGAATTCTTTACCTTACTAAGGATTAAATATCAGAATAGAGAGCACTCTAATAACTAAAAGCCTTGTTTTTATGTTACTCTTGCCCTACATGGAATAGGAAACTTCACTTGATTATGAATTAACAATTTAACCTGTAATTTATTACTGTAAGGACATCGAATGTCACTAAGCCTTTTTTTTTTTTTTTTTTTTGCCTTTTTTGAGACAAGGTCTCCCTATGCAGTTCAGGCTGGGCTTGAGCTCACTTTGTAGCCCAGGCTGGTCTTGAATTTGCAATGATCCTCCTGCCTCAGTCTCACTGGGATTACAGGTGTGTGTTACCACACCCAGCTCAGTAAGCCTTTTATGGCTTCTATAAATTTGAGAAAGTAAGATTAAAACTAAGGATTTAGAAACTTACCTGTAATGTTGAATGTTATACTCAATGCTCTGTTTCTTTATCTTCATCAAAATTCACTGTCAAGTTGACAGCTTTATTCAAAATATTTAGAATTTATGTAGAATAATCTTTAAACTTTCAGATGGATGACTGTGGATTATTAGAACAGCAGGATAAATTCTTATTTCTTTTTATTAGGAGCTGGATACTGAAACCTTGGGTACCTGCATAGATTTCCAGGTTGTGCCAGGATGTGGTATTAGCTGTAAAGTTACCAATATTGAAGGCTTGCTACATAAAAATAACTGGAATATAGAGGAAAATAACATTAAAAATGCATCCCTGATTCAAATTGATGCAAGTAATGAACCATCATCAACTTTGTCTTCCATGTTTATTGATGCCCAACTCTCAAGTAAGCTAATTTTCTTTTTAATGGTAATTGTGGGGCAGTTATGAACCTATGGCTAAGTTTATAATCCTGAAATGTAATATAAAAAACAAAGCTCAGCATCAGGATTTTACTCTCTGAAGTCATTTTTTTTTTTACCATGGGCTTTCTCATTCTTTCACAGAAGTTACTCACATTTCCTAACTGTGCTCATTGATATTAGTATAGGGTGATGAGGTCCAGCCTTAACTGATCGATGATCCTTCTTTTATTTGTCAGTAGAAGAACTCTATGCCTTGTATCTTTCACGAGATCCTGTGAGCTTCCCTTTTGTTTTCCCTTTAAATTTCCTTATATCGCATATGGAAAATTATGGTTCTCAGACAGGTGTTCTTTCCATGTTTTGTCTGTAATTTTTATTCCTTTCTTATGTGAATAAGTATCACTCATCTTGCCTAACACATCCCTTCATCTTTCCTGTAAATAGCACCCTCTCTTAATTCCTCGGGGACTTTTCTTTCTCTGTTTTGTCCCCCTATGTCTTTGTTTTTTTAATCTCTCTGTAGTAGCTCCTTTTCCTAAACATGTAAATATTTCTTTCATCAAAATCACTATTCCCTTCTTTTTGCTCTGTATCTGAGCTTCAAGAGAAAGTAGTATATGCTTTTTTAAACTCATTTGCTCACTGCTGAGTCATGCTTCAATTCATTGCAATCTAGCTTCTGCCCCATTTATATCACTGAAACTATTCTTTCTTTTTTTTCAGAACAGAACAATTTAAGCAACATAGTGTTTCACCACAAGATAACCTGACATAACAGTAGTTACCATAGTGTCTCTTTCCTTGAACTATTTGAGTATACCTTCACATACGATAACATCAAACATAGTAAGACAGTATAAAACCATTCAAGAGGATGAAAGTATTACAGAGGTCACCTTTGTCTGCCAAGCTCAGTGCCCTCTCCACTGGTTACTTTTCAGGTTTTGTCCTACATGACCTCACCAAGGCATTTTAGGATGATGATTTATTTCTTCCCTCCTAAAACTCTTTACTCTCTTGATCCCATGACCTTGATTTCTCTATATTCTCCCCTCATTTCCTAATTTTCCTTTGATTCCTCTTTTCTCTAACATTGGATGTTCCTAGTGATTTGTTTTCTGTCTTTTTTCTCACTTTACATGCTTTCTTTCTGTATAGTCTAATCCATGCTCATCATACTTTCTAACACATAAGAAAGAGGTAAAAGACAAGGTCAGAAAGGTAACATAGGGCTGAATCATGTGAGGACATTGAAAAGACTATGAATTTTACCCTAAGATGAGAAGCTAATTTAGGGTTAAAAGATTAGTGCATAGAAGGGATGACATCTGATTTAATATTCTAATAGTAGTATAGTACTCTGGCTTCTCTGGTAAAAATAAACTATGGAGTAAGTTTATTTACTCCATAGAGTAAATGGAGTAAGAATAAAAATAAAAAGAAGGGTAAGAATAAAAATGGAGTTATTAGACTGTTGCCATACTCCAAGTGAAGCATAATAGTGATTTGAAACAGTGTGGTAACAGGAGAGGTAGTAAAAAGTAGTCAGATTATAGATACATTTTAAAGAGAGAGTTAAAAGATTTTCTCTTAGGTTGTACATATAGACAAGAGAGATACAAGAGTCTAAACTATGATAGAGTTTGTGCCTTGAACAATTAGAGAAGTGTACAGTTACCAGTTAAATAAGATGAAGAATACCACAGGTTGAGGAGGGGGCCAGAATTAGAGACCAGATTGGGAGTTTAGTGGATTTTTTGAGATATAGTCTCACTGTGTAGTTCAGTCTAGTCTTGAACTCACTATGCAGCTCCTGAATTCCGGGATTACAGGCACATGCCACCATGCCTGACAGGAGTTCAGTTTTATATGTCTTAAGTGTGAATATTGTTAACTATCTAAGTCATATAAATGAAATTATCGAATAGGCAGTTTGCTACAGGCATCTGGAGATTTAGCAAACACAGTGAGTTGAATATACAGATTTTGGAATTGTTTGCCTGTAGAACCACGGTGTCCAAAACAGTAGCTATAGTTGCATGAAATTATTTAAATTAATTAAAATGTAAATTTTAGTACTTCAGTCATATTAGTTTCATTTCAGTGCTCAATATCCATAACTGTTAATGGCTATTGTATTAAACAGCAGATTTCCATCATTGTAGAAAGTTCTCCTGGATAGTTGTGATATGGATGGTATTTAAAGCCATGAAAATGGATTAGGCCACCAAGGTATGTGGGTAGAGGGGATAAGGACCAATGACTGAATCCCCAAATCACTTCAAATTGTGAGGTCAGGGAGATGAGGATGAAGTATCAAAGATAGAAGAGAAATAACAAGTGAGGAGGTAGCTCAGAAGAGTGTGGATTCCCACAAGTTAAGCGTAGGAGGTATTTCCAGAAGAGAGTGAACAACTGTGTTAAATACTGTTATGCTTTATATCTAAGTGTCCCCCCAAAGTTTCATGCACTCATATGTGGGTCTTTTAGAAGGTGACTGAATCATGGGGATGTGATCATTATTAGTAAGAGTAGACTGCTGATGAGTTTATACCTAAGAGTGATGTTGGGAGGTGGAGCCTGGTTGAAGGAGGCAGGTCACTGGAGCTGTAGCCTGGATGGGTATATCTCCTCTACTTTCCCCACACTGTTCTGTGAGCTGCTTCTTTGCCAAACTGTTCTGCATTGGAGTCTGCTGACTATGGACTGAAATTATAAAGTGAGAACTAAATTTTTCCTTAATTTGTGGGTATCCAGTATTGTGCCTCAGCAGTAAAGAAAATAGCTAAGAAAGTTTGGCACCCTACAAGTGGGGTTGTTGCTGTGACTATATCTGAGAGAGCAGTTCATGAAGCTGTGAGAATGAAACCAAAAGTACAGTGGAGACCCAGGAATTTGAAAAAACCAGAAATACGGATCATCTGAGGAAACCTGAAAGAAGTGACCAAATCCAGCCTGAGAGAGAAGCCATGATAGTTAAAACCATGACATGGTAATTTTATATCCCAAACCTTTGGAGTTAACATCTCATGGCCATAATTTGCCCCAGGTAGTGGATATGGAGCTGTAGGATTTAATGTTTGCTCTGGTGTGTTTTGGTCTTGGTCTCATTGGATTCTTTCCCTCTGTTTCTCAAATGTTTATCCTATACCATGGTGTATTAGAGTATTTAACCTCTTTTTGTTATATACAGGGCTCATGGCTAAGAGTTTATTGTAAGTCTTAGAGGAGATGTTTTACTTAGACTTTTCAGCCATGCTGCAACTGTTAGGATTTGGTAACAAAGATGGACTAAATGTATGTTGCATAAAGGGATGTACATAAATCTTTTGGGGGTCAGGAGTAGAATGTAATGGTTTATGTATAGATATTGCCCCAAAGATCGCATGAGGCTTTTACGGGACTTCTAGATATAAGCCATAATGTCTAATAAGAAACAGAATCATCATCTGATATGTGAATAGGGGAGAAGTTGTAGATTTGAAAGGAGAGGTGAAGATGTGAAATACCATCTTAAAAAATAGAGAAAGAGTGGCCAAGGGAAATATAGTTGAATTGCCAGACAATTCTAGGGCTCACTTAAAGTTAGTAGTCACAGCTTTAAAATGAGACAGAATTATAGTTGCATTTTTATGTACAACACATTCAGCTGCAATAAATATTTTGAATTTAATTGAATTGCTATAGAAGATCAAAGGGAAAGGGTCACTAAGAAAGTAACATTTTAACCAGTTGCTAAAGAGTATGATAGATTTTGCTATTGAGAGAGGAGGGGTAAATACATTTCAAGTGAAGGCAGCAATGTATACAAATGCCCAGAGGTATGGAAAAGCAGAGTATATTACTAGAAACTTTGAAAATCAGTGTTGTAGGTGGTGTTCTAAAAATTCACTGAGGTGACTGCAGGGTTAGACAAAAATAACTTGCCTCATTAAAGTTGTTGTGAAGTATTTCATACTTACTTTCAGATGCTGTTAATACTCAGCAGTACAAAGTCCTCATTGGTAACCGGGAATGGATGGTTAGAAATGGTCTCATCATTAATAATGACATAGATGATTTCATGACTGAACATGAAAGAAAAGGACGGACTGCTGTATTGGTGGCAGTTGATGGTAAGGTTTCCCATAAATATGCTATAATTCTGTTATGATGTCAGTTGATGTTTTATGTGTATTTTTAAGATACTTAAGAATCGTGAGGATTGTTCAAAAGCAGCTTGAATACAAAATGAAAATGATAAGAACATGTGATTGTTACTGATTAAAGTGTCTTGCTGGCTGTAGTGATGCTATCACTCAAGGAGGCTGGGGCAGGGGTATTGAAAGTTCGAGCCTAGCCTGAGCAATTTAGGAACTTATTGAGATCATGTCTCAAAATATAAAATTTTTAAAAAAGGGATTGAAGATGTAGCTCAGTGTAAATGCCTTGGATTCAATCCTAGTATTACATACACAAAAAGAAATCCATAGGTTGAGGCTCTGGGTTCAACCGTTAACACACACACACACACACACACACACACACACACACGGCTTAAAAATTCTTTTGTGTTTGCTTACCTTTATTTTTTTCCATAGCCCATTTTACATAAAATTTAATCATATATTTTAAAACCTAGAAATAATAGTAAAATAATGGCAAAGTAAAATAACATCATTCTGACACAATCATCAGTTTTACTTTCATGTATTCTATCCCTGATTTTATTGATATATACATAATTGTATTAGTAAATGCATATGTAATACTTAGCGGTATACTTTATTACATGTAAACTTTACTTCAATAAAGCTAAATAAAAATTTAAAAACCCTTGTATGAATCCTATTTTATTACAATTCATTTTGCATAATATTTTTCATCTTTGTTACCTAATACCTACCTACCTATTTATTTATTTATGCCTGCAAGCATGCAGTACTGGGGATGGACCCATGGCATTGTGCATGCTAGGCAAGCATTCTAATGTTGAACTATATCCCCAGTCCTTTACTTTTATTTTAATACTGTATAACTTAGTGAACTTACACACTATACTCATTTCCCTTGTTATAGATTTGGGGTGCTCCTTTCATTTCACTATTATAAATAATAGTGTAGTAAAGATCTTGTGGTTGTAAAAAAAATCTTGAGGTTATAAATGCTTTTATTTTCTAAATCATTTTTAAAATTTCTAGCTGTAAGGTTAATTATTCAACATGTGTAATTCTTGTTAAGTATGAAAGCAGTATCTTCTGATGTTTTTACATCCAGGAAAAAGCAGAAAATATGACTGTACTTTTGTTTTTAAAATATAACAAGATTGGTTCTTTGTAGTAATTATTTCCCTATATAAAATAAAATAAGTTTTTTGTAGTAATTTTTTCTATATAAAACGGCAGTTTTATCCCCACTCACCCCCTACTTTAAAAAGAAACTTATTAGTTTCAGTTTCATCTGCCTTTAAATTTACTAAAAAAATTTGCAATTATTAGCAAATACCTGCTTAAGGAATATTGTGTTTTAGTAGTCAGTACATTTTTTTTCATTTTTCTATTACTACATTCATTAGTTACTTCTCTGAAATTCTCATAACCAAATATGGAAATTTGTTACAGGGTTTGTGGTATAAAGTCTGTGTGAGCTTATAGATGTTTTGAGTTAAGCCATACCCTAAGCTACTTAACAAAGTTCATTTCTTTCTGAAATTTCACATTAAAATATTATTCTACCTTCATCATATTGCAAACTTTTTTCCTTTCTAATGCTGCTATGTTAGATGAGCTGTGTGGCCTGGTAGCCATTGCTGATACAGTGAAGCCTGAAGCAGAATTGGCTGTTCATATTCTGAAATCTATGGGCTTAGAAGTAGTTCTAATGACTGGAGACAACAGTAAAACAGCTAGATCTATTGCTTCTCAGGTAATTGGTCTATTTCATTGTTGGGGTGGAGGCAAGTAGTAACTTCTGATTCTTCCTGTATGGATTATTTCTTGTATTCAGATGTCAAGAAAATCATATTGCCTATTATTTTCCTTATCACCAAGTAGCTATATCTGGTTCCTTACAGAAGAATTGACATACTATGTTGGATGGACTCTGGGCTTTTTGTGTTACTGGTATAAGTAAAAAATGTATTTGTTTAGCTCATGGGATACTTGAGTGACAGTGTACCCCAGTTTCTGTTGATTTGGAATTTTTTGTACTGGGGATCGAACTCAAGACCTTGCCCTTGCCAGGCAAGTGCTTATGCTACTGAGCTAAATGCCTAGCCCCATCTGTTAATATTTTCTGAGAAACATTGCTCATATTCTTCATCGGTGTTGCTAGCTCAGACTATCATGATCTCCCACCTGAAATAGGTAATAGTGCCTACAGAATTCCCTGCTCTGTCCTGAATGCCACAAATGGAACTGTTTTCCTAATGCACCACTTGGTGCATTTTTCTATTTGAGGACCACATTTATTTTTTGATCTTTTCTACTTTGGAATGCTTTCTCCCTAAATCTAGTAAATAAGAGGGAATACATGAATATTTTTATATAAAATACAGAATATTGTAAAGAATTTATCATACTTTTTCATACTCCTGTCTAGTTCTTACCGCTACCCCATTTTTATGTGTACATGTGCTCATATATAAATGTGTAGTTTTGGTAATTTTAACATAAATTGGGTCATTTTGTGAAGATTATTCAGTAGTTTGCTTTTTCAAAATTTATTTCTTTGAGCTCTGTTCATGTTGTACATAAAAGGTTATTTCATTCTTTGTACACTGCTGAATGGAATTTCATATTATGAATATATCATAATTTATTTAACCATTCACATAATGATGCACATGTAGGAGATTATGAAAATTTTGTTGTTGCAAACAGGCAGTAATAAACACCTTTGACATCTTTGGATATATATGTCTGTCCAAAATATACCTAGAAGTAGAATTAATGGATCATATGATATGCAGACTTTGATAAATGCCCTCTAAAAAGACAGTACCAATTTATACACTATGTACCAGTGTATAGGAAAGCTCATTTCTCTACATTATGACTGGATGATATCAATCTTTTAAAATATAGACATCTGGGGTGTAAAAATGTGATGGCTCATTACTGTTCAGTTATGGTTCAGGTATTCATCCAATAAATTGAGTTTATTTTCCTCACATAGGTTGGTATTACTAAGGTGTTTGCTGAAGTTCTGCCTTCCCACAAAGTTGCTAAGGTAAAGCAACTTCAAGAGGAGGGGAGGCAGGTAGCCATGGTAGGAGATGGCATCAATGATTCCCCAGCTCTGGCAATGGCAAATGTAGGAATTGCCATCGGCACAGGCACAGATGTAGCCATTGAAGCAGCTGATGTGGTTTTGATAAGGGTAAGTCATGTGGTCTGAACTCTGAGGACTGTGAGACTGTATAACATAGTCAGTGATAGTGTCATAAAGTATATTGAGCACAATGATTCGGTCCTAACTTCCAAGTTCTTAGCAAATAAGACCTGGAAAATTGGGAGGGGGGAGTATGGGAATTCTTATTAATTACCTACTCTCTCAATCCAGTAATATAAATGAGAATTATACGTTTATAATGTGAAGAATAAAATTTAGAATTATACTTGTAATAAAATTACATTCAACAAATACTTGTTGAATTTATCATAATATGATTTTATCATTATACCAGCACACAGCCCTAAAAGTGTTTTCAGAACCATAGGAAGAATATATGAAAAATATCTTCCAAGGCTGATTCAAAGTTTTAGCGATAGCCATAAGGTACATATCATCTTTGATATGCACAGTATCAAATATAAAATCTATTACAGAATTAAGAGTCTTTCACTAATATCACCAATATTTGTTTTCTCAGAATGATCTTCTGGATGTAGTAGCAAGTATTGACTTATCAAGAAAGACAGTCAAGAGGATTTGGATAAATTTTGTCTTTGCTCTAATTTATAATCTTGTTGGAATTCCTATAGCTGCTGGTAGGTGACTCAAAACTATTATTCCTTTTCCCACTGAAGTCATTAGAGACTTATCATACTGAAAGTTTAATTTTGTTAATTTGTGTGTGTGTGTGTGTGTGTGTGTGTGTGTGTGTTGCTGGGGATTGGACTGAGACAAATTCTCAACTCTTTATTTATTTACTTTTTGGAAACAGAGTCTTGCTAAGCGACCCAGACTGGTCTAGGTCTTTGGGCCTCCTGTCTCAGCCTTCCAAGTAATTGGGATAGCAAGCATGTGCCACCATTCTATTAGTCTTTGTATATAGGTTGCTGGTGTTGTGAGACATAATATTAAAACCAGTAATTTTCATTTTCAGTAATGTTCATGATAGCCTAAGAATATGTGATTATGACAGGTTTCTTTTTCCTCATGCATCAGCATTGGAAAAAATGATAGAGTGAAAAATCTCTGTACCTTTCTTCTAAGCTTCACCACTTGATATTTTGTTATTACTTTGTATTTTTCTCTATGTACTCCTATACATATATATTTATTTTTACTGATGAGAACCAATTTACCTTTAATCTTAGTACCCGAACATAACCATTCCTAGTGTCTTATGTTTTTCCTTTCAGTCTTTTTTTTACTCTTCATTAATTTGGTCTTATTACATATTTGTGACTATCAGAGAGAATTTTCTGCTCTTAATACTTTGTTATAGTCAACAGGTGTACTTTTGGGTTGAGAGAGAGAGACAGACAGACAGACATTGATTTAAAGAGATAAGAGCAAAAAATAATATTCTAGATTTATTTAATATACACCTGAGAATCTCCTAAATTCAGAGATTTGGTATGAGTTAGTAATTACAGGAGAAATAGCACTTTCTGCTTCTGCTTCTGCTTCTTTTCTTTTCTTTTTTTGTCTTTTTGAGACATGATCTGGCTATGCAATTCAGGTGGGTCTTGGGCTCACTTTATAGCCTAGGTTGGTCTTGAACTTGGAACGATTCTCCTGCCTTGGACTCCTGAGTGCTGGGATTACTGGAGCCCCTGCGCACTTCTTCTTATTATCTCTGGTTTTAGAACTTAACAAAAAACATGAAATGACATTAAAACAATTACAGAGCTCTTTATCACGTACGTACAAATACTGAGAGGACGAAGGGCAAAAGCACAATTTAATGCAGTAAGATTAATTCAGGGAGTAAATGACTTAAAAAATTAGACAAGTAATACATGACACATGTAGAAAAAGTAAAAAAAAATCTCAGATAAGCAAATGAAAACTAAAAGTACAATAAGTATATTTTATCTTCATCATATGAATAAATATTAAAATGTCTGTCAAAGCCAAATGTGGATTAGTTTGTACAACATTAACTTCCATAAGTTTATGAACTGGTGTAGCCACTTTGGAGATCAGCTGAGGGAATATCTACCTAAAGCTTAACATATGTCATGTTATTATGACCCAGAAGTTTCACACTCAGAATATACCCTAGGGAAAGTCTCAAACATGGGTGCAGGAGATATGTTTAAGGATGTTCACAACAATATTATATTTGAAAATTTGGCAACAGCGTAAATTTCCACCATCAAGCAGATTAAAGTGCTGAATATCAAAGAAACAAATTGTTAGAAGCATCTTGATAAACCATCTAGTGTTATCCACTCTAACTAATCTAATTTCTTTTTCAGGAGTTTTTATGCCCATTGGTTTGGTTTTGCAACCCTGGATGGGATCAGCAGCAATGGCTGCTTCATCTGTTTCTGTGGTACTTTCTTCTCTCTTCCTCAAACTGTAAGTAAGACAATTTGCTCATGTTGGTCTTTTATTGTCCATATTCAGTCTCTACAGGTTTTATTCTTATACTGATCAATTATAACCTCAAACCATTCCTATTAATAATTATTGTAAGATAAAAATAATAATGACTAGTTATGTAATTGTCACTTCATATAGTTTATAAATAATAACCACGAGCACTGATTTGGGTAAAATTTAATCAGTGGCTCTGAGAAATAGGTCTCTGATCATGTGACTCCATACAATTCTTTTCAAACTACTTTCCTAGCAGTGACCAGCTTTATATATTATATGTGAAACACATCTTTTATTTGTGTATGTGATAAGCATATAGTTATTTGGTTATTTTAAACTGATGTCCTTTCATATATGTCCAGTTATAGGAAACCAAGTTATGAGAATACCGAACTGCATGCCCAGAGCCAGATAGGAGAGAAGAGTCCTTCAGAAATCAGTGTTCATGTTGGAATAGATGACACCTCAAGAAATTCTCCTAAACTGGGTTTGCTGGATCGGATCGTGAATTACAGCAGAGCCTCCATAAACTCACTACTTTCTGATAAGCGTTCCCTAAATAGTGTTGTTACTAGTGAACCTGACAAGCACTCACTCCTAGTGGGAGATTTCAGGGAAGATGATGACACCACATTGTAAAAGGCCGCAGACAATGCTGCTAGTTGAAATTGTTATGCACTGATATGCATTCATGCCTTTACCTTAGCTTTTCAAATATCGTGGAAGGATTTTGTGTTGATTTCATTCTCTTAATTGAGTTTCCTTTGTCTAATGTCAAAAATATCTTTTTCAGGTCATGAGCTCAGAACCTAGTTTTATTGAAAATGAATTTTTAACATTTTTTGTTTTTATTTGTGGTAGGTAAGATAGGTAGCCAGGTTTACATTAAACCCTACAATTAGAGATTGCTGATTTGCTGCTAAGGTGATATATTTTTTTATTTGACAAAAAAAAAAAAAAACAAGAAGAGGATAATTAAAATTTTGAATTTTTGAGAGCATGACTTTGAGGACATTTTTCAGTCTGTAACCCTGCCCCCTGGGAAGCAATGCCTTTCAAAGCACTATATAAAGTACCTGGTTTAGAAACTGTTTGAAAACAGATGTGCCTTATTTATTGTAGTGTTTCTTTCCCCGCTTCTCCTTGCATCCTTATTCATATAGTTACTTTCTTAGTTGTTCCAAGATATCTTTTGTTATCTTCTTTAAGTAAACCAAGTTGATTTTTCATTGATAAAAATAAGAACTTTTCCAATGCCTTCCATAGCCTTCTCCACCTCTCGTCTTTCCATTGTTGTAAAAATATACTTAATTTCTCCTTCAGCCTATCTGGCTGTATGCTAACTTTGAATATACCCTTGCTGTAAGCTGTTCTTAGTGTGATCTATCAGTCTCTGTCCAGAAACTTAACATTTTGAACCTCTTCCACTCATGATTTTGAGATTTACACTATTGTATTAAACATATTCAAGTCATATAAAATTACCTGGATTCAATAAATTCATCTTTTGGGGTACAGTACAGTCATGTGGCTAGTTTATGTAATTTAATAGATTTAAATTATCTTTTAGAGTTTCAGATAACCTGTCAAAATGACTTTAATACAAAGCCAGATATGGTGGTACACACCTGTAATCTCAGCACTTAGAAAGATGAGGCAGAAGGACCGCCATGAATTTGAGGCCTCCATAGTGAATTCAAGGCTTGCCTCAACTATCTAGTGAGATCCCGTCTCAAAAAACCAAATATAAAGAAAGAAAGAACAAAGCTGCTTTTACCAAAAATTACAGTGAACTATAATACAAAAATTAGAATTGTCCTAGGCTATGATACCTTTTACCCAAATATACACTTTTGTTTAAAACATTTACACTTGTTTGTTTAGTATGGTTGGCAAATTTAGGAAATTCTTCCCATCGTCACATGGATTTAGAAATTCCTTGGTGAGTGCCTGAGAAATAAACTGGTCAGAGACCTGGCTCTTATATGACTATTTAAGTTTACTTATTAATTGCAAGGTGTATTTCACGTAGCGAATGTGAAAATGAAGATTCCTAACATTTTATTCCAATTGCCATACCTTTAACTGGTAGCACAAACATCTAACACATGGGAAATGTGCTCAGTAAATGTTAGGTCTTTTCTTCTTTTTGAGTTCTGTACTAAATATAAAAAATCATTTTTTAGAAAGCAGAGTCTAAAATCAGGTAAGGATAGGGAAAAAGTTCTTTATCTTCTACCCCTTTTCTCTTTTATCCTTATATGCATGGATGTTCACACACATATACTGAGTTTAAATCTTTTTTGTCTTTTTGAGACAGGGTTTCACTGTGCAGTTCTTGCTGGCTTTGAATCTACAGTGATCCTCCTGCCTCAGTCTCCCAAGTGCTGGAATTACTGGTGTGTACTACCACACTTGGCAAGAATTTAAAATATTCTATGCTGTACTCAGATTTAGAAAAGAACCATTTACTTTCTCTGCTTTCTTAAAGAGAGAACTGAAACTTCTTTGAGGTTACTTTTTTTGTTTAACTTTTGATGAAGGTGCTATTAATTTTTAAAGGCAAATAAATCCATTTAAATGATATATGAATGAGATTGTGTGTTTAGGCTTTTTAAAGACTGTGCTATATTCCATCCTCCATGCTTACAGTTGGAATTTTAATAATCATTTATTTCAATTCCAGTGGCCCATCATAACATGACCCATTTATTCTAGAAGAAACAACTAATATGACAAAAAGTATAATAGATTTTTCTAACTCTGGAGCCAAATTGAAAACAAGAAACACCCTTTCATTTTCATTGTTTATCTTGTACTCTCTTTTTCTCTTGTCCCCCCACCAACCTCTCTCTCTCTCTCTCTCTCTCTCTCTCTCTCTCTCTCTCTCTCTCTCTCTCTCAGTTGAACACCACCAGTTACTACTCTTATTATCCTCTTATTATATGTGTGTGTTTGAGTCACCCCCTTGGTCCTACATGCATGCTGTGGCACAGTGGGAACAGTAGCTTATGATCTGGGAGTACTCAAAGATACAATTTCATTTCTTACTATGAGAACAGAAAACATGCTGTTTAGAAAGAGTCCTGCTTTAAATAACTATATACACATTTGAATTCTCTACCACAAGACTTACAATTTTGAATTCTCATAAGCTTCAGAGAGAAGCTGCATTCATTGGAGAGAGAGAGATGATTTACAGAGAGGATCAAAAATATTGCTTTTAGTTAGTAACTAGTTCTAAGTAGTTATTAGAGAATAAATTTTGTAATTGTGTATGTCTGTGTTTGTTCACAGAGCCTACCAAAACTGTATACATACTTCAACAAAAAAAAAACTGTAAATATTTGAACACTAAATTTATTGAGACATCATGAGAGTAATGCAAGTTACCTTTAGTCTCTAAAATTAAAAGAGATGCACAAAATGATGGCAGTTAGCTTCCAGACCTTTATTAGTATGGCCAACTGTGCTGGGTAACCTCAGTCTTTGAGATTGCTGTACATGGATTTTCAATTTCTTCTCTAAAGGCCGACAGTATAGTGAGTTTTCTGTGATACATGAACTTCTCTAGGGTGCCCCATATGAGGTAATGCCATCTGTTTTAAAAATCATTGTACTATTTTTCATTTTCTGAAGTATGTATATACATTTTCTGGTAGACTTTGTATATACTCACAAATATGTACACACGTATATGTACATCCATATTATATTGAAGGAAAGTAGATTTATATTTGAATAAGTTCTTTATGTATATTTTCTTTATCACTTTTCTATATCCACTCAAAAACTGTAAGCAGTCTGAAAAGAACAAGAACTTTTTGATATCCAGTGCTGGTGCAGACTCAGTTATGGGGGCACCATTCTTTACATATCCAAAGATTCCTTTTGAATTTCAAAGATTTAGAGTAGCAATCTAAAGGATGATTGTCATTTGTGAAAGGAGAAATGTTAGTTTTCTTAGTTTAGTATGAACATTTTAGAATGTTAAATTTGATGCCTTGTGATCAAGTAATGTCACATTTTTTAATTTTAAAAAAATATTCTTTATTCAGATATACATAGTATTTAAAATAGCACTGTAGACAGGAGGTCTCCAGAAATTTAAGCATGCATATATTTTCCATATACAGCTTAAAATAACAAATGTATGTTTGTGAATTTTTTTCCATTACATGTGGATCCTGCTTTAAAATGATTTTTCAATATATTTATTTTACTCTGTTTTGTTATTTTCTTTAAATGAGGCATTTTGTTACTGGTTACCTGAAAAATAATAAAGATATTCCCTGTGTTATTCCCTTTGAGTTTTTTATTTTACTGTCTATATATTAAAAATATTACTTTACCAAATATAGGACATAAGATTCATGCCAAATTATTACTTATTTTTACCCTAACTTTCTGAAATCCCTCAATCTAGTAGGACTAACCAGATAAAGCACAAAACATTAATTTAATCAAAACAGTTTCTTTAATGGCACTGATAATAAATGCATTTGTAGCCAAAACCAAATGCCTCAACCTTGTTCTTAGATAAACGAATGTTTAGCCAACCATTGTTAAACATGATTGTTTGGTACCCAAAACAGCAGTAAACAGTGTTGTGCAATATTTATCTACTGTAGTCAAGATAATTAGTAGTTTGTTTTTCCATAAGCATGTAATTGATCATATTTCTGCCAAGGATGTGCCTTCATCTTTATAATTATACTGTTGTAAAAGACTTTTTGTCAGCGTGTCTTTTGTTAAATAGTCCAACCCTCTCTACAAAAGTTCCAAACTACTTTTCCTGTCTTTTAAATTTTTTTCAACTGTTAATATATAATGTTGCAGGATTGGAGGCAGCACTACACATTGAGTAATCATGGGAGTGATTAATCTATTTTTTTCAGGTTCTATTCAACCTGCCATATTATTTAATGAGAATGAGAAACAAAGAAAGGAATGTAATTGCTATCCTTTCCTATCTACTCTCTGATACAGTTTTCAAAGAGTGTGTACTCCAAATGAGCTACACAGAGAAAATAATTTTTGTTGCTTTGGGGAAACCCTAAACAATGTATTTGAAGACCCTAGCTAAGATACATTCTTATACTAAGCACTTCTTTGAGTTAAAGAAAGAGGTTTAAACTTAGTTGTGAGTATAAACTAATTTTTGTTTCCCCCCAGATCCATGGGATTATTAAGAGAGGTGAGATAGGACTGGAAATGAGAATAGGAGAGTAAAATTCCTGAGGTATCTACACAGCTGGCTAGCCTCCCTTTATTGTTGGTATCATGACTAATCTCAGAGAAGTGTGCCAGTGAGAATTTCAGACCTTCCACATCAACAGAACAAAACATCCTCAAAAGACTAACATCTGGAATATGTAAATAACTCAAAAAGACCCCCTCAGCATAACCTGGGGCATCACAGCAAATTTTTGAAAGGCACATTATGGTGGATGCATAATTCCCACATTTATTGTTTTAGAAGCATTTCTGTTGGTGAATTATTAATTTTAATTAATGCATACTTAGGAAAATAAATATCAAATTCTAGTGAGCATTTAAAATAAACATCATTTTCAACAATTGTTTATCTGCTTACAAGAGCTAAAAAAATGACAGCAGAAATTCCTATGTGAACTACAATAAAAATACAAGCAAACTCTACCACAGGAATAATCTTTACTTCAATTATCACACATAAGACAGTTGTGACAACAACATGTTCCCTACACAGGTTTTACTCATACTGACAGTATATGTGCTTGCTTTCCAGTTGTCACCTCTCTTGTCATCTTCTTTTGTCAGGAGCTTCCTATTATACAATGTGCACTTAGGAAAATGAAATATCAAATATATACTGAGTGTTTAGAATATAAATTTTCTACATTGTGTTTATTTTTTAAATTTTATTTTAAAGAGAACACAAAATGAAACAATAAAAGCCAATCAAACAAAAAATGAGATCAGTACAGGACTTCAAAACAAGGTAATAGGAAATCAACATTGGCTGTCATAACGCCTCATGTTAATTTCAAAATAGCTGCCTATACCATCAAAAAAATCAAACAAAGCAGCAGAATAAAACAAATCAAAACAAAGCAATGACAGTGATACCGGACTTCAAGATAGTAGGAAATCAACAATGGGAACCATAATATATCTTAATATCTTCAGAATAGCTGCCCATGCCATCAGACATAATGGAATCTAACAAAACAAAACAGAATAAAATCAAACCAAACCAAACAATGAAAACAATACAGGACTTCAAGGTAAAAGGAAATTAACAATGGCTATCACCTTCCCTTTTTAGACATTTTCTCCCCTTTCACCTTCACAATATCTATTATACATTTCAGACGTCATTAACTCCTTCAGTTTTTATAGTAGGGTGACAATATGATGTTCATCCATGTGAGTCCAAACTATTTCACTCATAAGCATGATCTCAAGTTGTATCCATTTACCTACAAGAGCCTTAAGGTTATCTTTCTTTATAGCTGAGTAGCTTTCCATTGTATAAAAATACAGTATCTTTTCTATCCATTCCATGGTTGATGGACAAGCTACCCCTGCTTGCTTCTGCATTCATGGCAAATGGAGCATTGTGTTGTCTCCTCTGACTTTCAGTCCATAAATTTTCTTTTAAGTCAAATGTGTTTCTTGTATTCAGCATATTGATAAATTCTGTCTCCCAATCTGTTCTGCCTGTTTTTTTTATTGGTGAATTGAGGCCATTCTACATTAATGGTTACAATTGATGTGCACTGGCTCTTCTCTACCATGCTAACCTCATGCCATTGTTCCCCCGCTTTTCCCTTCCATTCACTTGCCTGCCATGCTCAGTGAACCCCCTCTGCTACTGTTTCTGTAACCATGGTCATCTTTATCTCTCTCTAGAATATCCTTCAGCATTCTGTAGGATTGGTTTGGTGGTTATGCATTCCTTTAGTTGTTCTTTATCATGAAAGTATCTTCTCCATTAATTTTGAAAGATCATTTTATAGGGTCCATCAGTCTGGGTTGGAAGTTGTTTTCTTTCAGGATTTGAAACACTTCACCCAAGCTCTCTTTGACTTGATGGTGTGTGTTGAGAAGTCTGCTGTGATTCTGATGGATTTTCCTTTATAGATGATCTGTTTCTTTTTTCTAACAGCTTTTAATATTCTGTCCTTGTGCTGTGTTTCTGGGATGTTGATTATTATATGTCTGAGTGTAGATTTGTTTTGGTTATGGCTATTGGAGTTCTATAAGCCTTACTTATCTATATGTCAGGTCCTTTTCTCATACTTGGGAAGTTTTCTGATACTATTTCTGTAGTCTTTTTATGTCATTCATGTTGACCCCTGCTTTTTTGCTGATACCAGTCAACCTTAAATTATTTTTCCTTGTGTCATTTGTAGCTGTTGAATTGTTATTTCCTGGTTACTTGTTATTTTTAATCGATCTTTCCTTTCACAATTATTGGCTGCAATCCTATCTTCAGGGTCTGAAAGTCTATCTTTCACGTGGTTTTTCCAGCTTTCAATGGAGTTTTTTTAATTTTCTGTATATCTCTTTAAATCTGTTTCATACATTATGGTTCTTTTCTGTATTGTTCATTCAATGTTTCCATCATTTTCTCATGCTCCTCTTTTTTAATCTGTGTCTTTAAATGTGCTCAGCAATTCTTGCGCTGTTTGTCATTTGTCCTTTTACCTGAGATATTATTCTGATGTGATTACTTTTACAGCCTCACAAAATTGTTTCTTTTCTTTGATTGCTATCCTTTCATAAATCTCAGGTGTCCAAATTTCAATTTCTTCTGTTTCCGTGTCTCCTAGACTCAGTCTGTGGGCTGGAGGTCTGAGATTACCTTTTGCTCCTTTGTCTTGACATTTTCCTGGGTTCCTCCAGCCAAACCAGTTGTGGAGTCCTGGATGCTTCCTGCATTGGCTGTCCATTAACAGTATAGGGTAATGGTTCATGCACCTGGTTTTCTCCTATCCTAGGTTTCCAGGGAGGTAGTGTGGTGTAGGGATGGATTCTCCAGACATACACAGCTACACTAAGGCTACCCTGATAGTGGCAGGTGTGTGAGAACTTCACTGGCTGGTTCTCCTCACTGGCACTGGCTACTGGTCCCTGATGGTGTCTGGTGGGCTCATGGGGGCATCTACGTTCAGTTTTTTTCTTCTACTTTTTACAGTTCTATGATGATGTCTGTGTTGCATCAGAAAGATGTGCTGGGTATGGACTTGATCTTGGCCTCTGGATGTGGAGGATGAAACTGGTCTTCTGTCAGTGGAGTTCTCCAGAGTCCAACTGCTGTCTCCTTGCTGCTGCTTCAGACACTTCCATGTTACTGGACTCACTGATTGCTTCACCTTCCAGAGGTGTGTGTGTGTGTGTGTGTGTGTGTGTGTGTGTGTGTGTGCGCGCGCACGCGCATCTGTGTGCTGGGCTGTTTTCCTGGATCTTGGGATTCCTGTTGGTCATATAATCTTCCAAGCAGCCCACCCTCTTGTGATGTAATGGAAGCGTGCCAAGTGTGGAATCACTCTCTTCTAGCTGGCCCACCCTCTGGGATATAATGAAGGGGATCAGAGTGTGGACTCACTCTTCTCCAGCCAACCTGCCCTCCAGGATGTAATGGAAGGGAGAAGACTACAGACTCACTCTCCTGCAATCAGCCTGCCCTCTGGGATATGAGGGAGGCACACATAGCACAGACTCATTTTCCTCCAGCTGACTTGCCCTCTGGGGTCCATCGTGTTTGTTTAATATAAATAAATAACAAACATAAATTCTCTTGTGAACTACAACGGAAACACAAAACTCAAAAATAATCCTCACTTCAATGATCACACCTAAGGGAGTCTTCACACATGACAACATGTTCCATATACAAGTATTGCTTACACTGATGGCACATGTGTTGTTTTCCTGTCTTCTTTGGTAGGACATACTTGACATCTTGCTGGTCTTCCCATTTTCTTAAGAGTCTCTTGTGATGTTTCTCCTGTCTGTTCACCAGTCTGCTCCAGAATTCTTCTTTGGAGTTCTTTGGGCAAATACATGTTCTTCCTCTGTTGTAATTGATCATTGATGAGTTCTAGTCCGAATTCTCTAAAAAAATTTTTCTCCATGATATTTTGTGCTTGTTACTTTTTTGTAAACTTTGAAACTATTTATACTTCACATATTTAGGATCCAGTAAAGCACAACCATTGGCCAATACTTAAGTGTTTCAGCTATCATTATAGCTGTTACATAATTAATCAACAACATCTACTCTGCTTTTAGTTTTGTTGTAAAATGTGACAATTTATGACTTCTTTTGAACTGAAGATTCTCTATCAATGTTTGTTTGTTTTTTTTTTTTTAATTTTATTTAAGGAGAAAAGAAAAAAAAAGCAGGGAAAGGGTACAAGTTATACAGATTTACAGAAAAAAAATGAACAGTAGGAAATCACTAGTTAATGGATTACATATTGTCATCTTAGAAATAATTGTTCAAGTCACAAAATTAAAGCTTGTAAAGTGGACATTCCATCAATGATACTGCAAACAGTTCTGTTCATTGATCCAATAAAACTCTGTGATATCATTTTCTATCTTATACACTTAAATATACATGCAGTTATATAGTTTGGAGCACTTTCTTTTCCTCTCTTTTGTACCATGACTATTACACATTTTGGGTTTCATTGCTCCCACGGTTCTTACTACTTTTTTGGAAGAGAGTAAAAC